TGATAAAATTCATTGTATTGGTATGTTCATAAGAACTATCATTGAAAAAAAAAAAAAAAAAGAAACATTTAATTAATTTCTCATAGGACATAGTCTTGGAGCACATACATGTGGATTTACATCAAATACAGTTGATAATCAACTAGCTCGTATATCAGGTCTTGATCCAGCTGGTCCATTCTTTTCAGGAAAAAAAATAGTCGTCCGTCTTGATAAAGATGATGCTAAATTTGTTGATGTTATTCATTCAAATACAGAAATTGCTCTCGGACTTGGTCTTGGTATAACTGATGAATCAGGTGATATTGATTTTTATGCTAATGGTGGTCAATCTCAACCTGGTTGTCCTTCAATGTAAATATTATTTAAAGTTTTCATTTTCTTTTTGAAATTTGATTTGTTTTTTCTTTTTTGTCTTTCTTTCTAGTGGTGCACTTCTCGGTGGTGTCTTAGGTGGTCAAAGTGAAGGTAAACAAATTTATAGGTATAGATGTAAAAAATTTTTTTTTTTCTCTTTTCTATCATAGCTGCTTATGAACAAGCATCATGTTCACATGGTTAGTATGAAATTTAATAATAAAAACAAAATATATATAATTCATATTTATTAATAGGTCGTGCACATGGATATTTTATTGAATCAATCAAGTATGTTATTTTGTAAAACATGATTACAAAAAGAGTATTGAAGTATATGAGATAGAAATATTATAATAAAATAATATCTCTATGATTAGGAAGAACAGCAACATTGTGTTTAACATTTTAATCTTATAAGGATTGTGTTAATAAGTTTTATTTTGGAATTTATGGCCTTTCATTTTAATATTTCTTTTTTAGTTCGGAATGTCCATATACAGCTTTTCCATGCCATGATTATGTAAAAATAAAATAGAAAAATTAATATATTGTTTTTCATTATTTTCTTTTTTCTAGAATAGTTTTATGGATGGCAAATGTCTTGTATGTCCAATATCTGGTTGTGCTCAAATGGGTAATTCAATCTTTTATTTAAATTTTTGTATGTAATTTATTATCTCTATTTCTTAGGTTTTTATTCTATATATTCACTTGGTCGTGGTAAAATGTATTTAGCAACAAAAAGCAATTCACCATTTTGTGGTTAGAATATTTAAGTAATCAAACTCTGGGTTATTTTTTTTTTGATTTTGATTTTTAGGCTATCATTATTTTGTTGAACTTGTACTTGATCGAGATATGGCTAAAACACGTGGTGAAATTTATGTGGCAATTTATTCGGATTATGAATTATTAGCTAATGTTAGCGTGACTGAAAGGTATGTATCAAAAAAAAAAGAGAATGCATTGGAATATGTAATTGATAAGTTTGTTTTTTTTTTTTTTTATTTTCTATTTAAAGAGGAAATGATGATATTAAAGCAGGTGATATTTTTCGACATGTATTTAGTTATCATACTGATTTGGGAAAAGTTGATTATGCTGTGATATATTTTCAGAAAAAGATACTTGGTACGTACTCGTTGATGTGTAACTTATTAGAAAAAGTTTTTAATGATTATTTTAGCTTTTGGATGGGGTGGTCCAGCAGCTAATGAAATTGTTGTTTCACGTCTTCGTCTTAAATCACTTGAAGACACTGTTGTGTATGTATATATATATATATATATACAAAACCATTTTTCATTCTTCATACTATTTATTTATTTTTAACAGACTTAGTGGACGTTGTGATGCAAGTACAAAAGTAGCAGCATATACTTCGGAACCATTGTTACTCAATCGTTTTGATTGTCAAGATTAGTATTTCGCTAAAGAGAAAATAATTTATTCAATAATATATTTTATGTTTTTTGATATGATTGAATTCGAAATATCGAAACAAAATAAATTATATGCGAGATACATTTATAGTATTCATCAACATTAATGATCGTTGTTGAATCTATTCTTTTCAAATTACTATATTTTTTCTTGATCGATTAGTCAAGATTCTTTTTATTCTTGAGGTTTAGACAATGTTCTTTTTGTATAAAGAATTTTTGTCTGACCTAGAAGACAAATATCATATAATGTTTATCCATACACTGATATATATATAAATCTATGTAGCTGATTTCTTCGTTTCTACACAGCGATAATTGATAGTTAGTATGTTCGATTTAATGAATAAGAACCGTTCTATTCAGATTTTGCATGAATTGAATAGTGGCGTAAATAGACAGAGATTCAATTCTCTCCCCTTCCGCTACAAACAGTTAAGTTCCGCTTAACAAGAGTTTGTACCCATTCTGAACACAGTCCCCTCCTCTATAGGCATGGTCAGGAACTGAGCTTCAATCCCACCCCGACTATACAACTATTATTAGATAGAAAAAGTGTATATGTGGACCTGTTTATGAGTCGAATGATAGTTGATTTTAGTAACATCCTAAAACAACATTATTAAAACTGAGCACACCGTCGAGAACATGATGAAGCATGATAGATTCCAAACGATCAATATGAAGATAAACCATAATAAAAAGTACGCATTTTTAATCTAAATAAAATATTTTCATTAATTATTTCTTCTTTTTTTTTTTCTTCTTGATAGACGTACCATATTTATAGCACGATTACCGAATTGGGTGTGGGTCTGGGTGTATGTCTGGGTGAAGAAAACAAATGCACCCATACCTCACACCCACACCCACAACAAATTCATCATCATGTAAACATATGCTTATTTCTAATATACTTTTAAGATATCATGATTCTTTTGTTATCAAAAGGAGCTGATATTAATTCAATTGATTGTTTATCTCTTCTTATTGTTACCAATAAACAATTACTAGAATGTATTGAAAACTTATTATAACGTCAACTACTATCGATTGATGATGATTTATAAAATATTTATAGAAATACTGCATAATATGACATTGATATTATTTCATTCCTTTGTTTGCATAGAAATTGAAAATATTATTCTTTTTTCATAACTAACATTCGTACTTTTGATATTTTTGTTAGATTTGATTTAATGTGCATCCCTAGGTGAATGAGGTATGGGCGGAAAAAATTGTCTTCTAACCATCCACGCCGCACTTTCATCCTCAGGTGATATAGGATTATGAGATTTTGTCAGAGAATATCATTTTAGTAAAAATTGTGAGCTCAAAATATAATGAGTTCGCGAAGGCGTTAAGAAGTGAATCGAGAAAAATTCGAGATTTGTGGGGTATCTGCAATTTTTTAAAGTCCACAAGTCAGGAAACGAATCTAAACAGAAAAAGGTTGAATACGATTCTGACTTTATTTATGTCGACTAATCAACGATGTTCCAACAAACTTCAATAATATTATCATATAAAAATAAATCTTTTTTTTTTCTTCTATTTTTATTATCTCGGTCAACAGTAAATATTATTGTATTTAAAAAAAACAATTTTTGTATTATTTACTGCGGATGCGGAAACATGTAGGAGCACGATGGTAAACGACAGTGGTATACATGTCGAGACGTAGCCATAGTCGTAGATCCAAATACTACGACTGGGTCGAATCATTAGAAATATTATTTGAATAATCGCGATAAAATCGCAGATTTTTGCGCAATTTTAATGGCATGAGAGGTGAGAAGAAATAGGTTTTTCATAGACAAGTTGAACGCAAGTTAACTAATGCAAGCTGGATTAGTGAAGATGAATCATCAATGACTATTGTTCACCGAAATAGATTTGAATCAAAAACTTTGTTTTCTATATTCTTTAAATCAAATAATTCTATTCTTATACATAGTACAGATAAAATCAAGACTATAGATCACAACTATTATGTTGAAAATTGCCTCAAGCCTGTTGTCAATGAAATATGAAACCAAAAGAAGTCATCACGTACAAAGAGTATAAAATTACTTCATGACAGAACTCGATTTCATACTCATCCAGACATTATTAATTATTTAACACCAGAAGGTTTCAATATAATGCTACATCCTTTGTTACTGTCAGACATTTTACCATGTAATTTGTGGGTAAATGATTATATCAAACGTAATTTAATTGACCAAGCAAATGAAAACTCATTGTTTCGTGCGATCTTCAGAGATAGTTAAATAAAAAAGTTCTAGAAGAAGAGTTTTAAAAAAACCATTTGATAAATTGTTAGAAAGAATAGAGTTTGTATAAATAATTATAGCGACTATTTTGAGCATTTAATAAAATAAAATTCAAAATATCTCTTTATTTTTATATATATAAATATTTTTTTAATGCTGTTAGAGTTTTTAGTCAATAGTAAATAATTATTTCCTTTACAGATGATAGAGAAGACTTTATTTGTTGATATATAAATTTTTTTATGCTAACTATTCATCTTTTTACTATATTAAGACTTTTTGTTCTACTTATTTTCCTTTTACCAACTTCCTGCGACATCTGCATTTGCATCAATTGACATGCTCATATCGTTCATTTGATTTCTATTTTCTATTCATCTTCCTTTTTTGGCAGTACACTATTATATTATTAATCTATTTACTTCTATTACTCATTCATAATTACGAAATTAAAAATCTAAATTAAATATTTGTTCATTTTTAGATTTTAAATTCATATATTTTTCTTCAATAAATCTTTCATATTGACGGCAAAAATATATTTAAGGTATATATATATATACATAATTCTTCTTGTTATGTATTAGTAATTCGATTCAAGGTTATTTTATTTATTTGCCGAATATGAGTATATAAAGAGAGCAAAAAAAAAAATCTTCTCTAGTAATTATTCATTAGCGTGACGTATAGCAGAGAGAAACTAGCCGAAAGTTCTTCGTCCGGATGACGACGAGGTGAGACGTTATTGTTATAGTAAAAGAATTACTTTCTCTCAATTTTCTTTTTTTTTTTTTTTGCTTCGATACACCACCATTCAATGAACATAATACCATTTTGTATAGTATATATAATGATTATAAGAATGGAAGAATGAATGAAGAAATAATAATGCATTTTCTTTTGTGATCAATTCCTTTCTATGTATAGTTTATCGTCAAATCAACAAACTATTTTACATGTGAAGAAATCCTTGATTTTGACAAAGATCGCTGCAGTTTCTAATCATAATCGTGACCGTCATCTGGCAAGAATCGTTGCGGGCAATGCAGGTTAGTTTTTATAAAGAAAAATAATATATTTAAATGTAATTACTTTTTTTTTGTCTTTTTGAGAAAACTTACGTACACATCTGGAATCAATGTGTAATATTCTGCGGCCCGACGATCGCCTCACGTTGGTTCGTCATTTATTTTTAATATTTCTCTTTTTCCTTTTTTAATCAATCATTTTATAATAGATGGTCCAATTGGAAAGTGGCTTCCCAAATCGTTTTCGTTACCTAGTCATTATTACATGTATTGGTAAACAACAAACAGAAGAGTACGACACATTTTTTTTTAATATCTTTAATTAATACGGATATTCATAGATCGGCACTTCTTGGTTTTGATGTTACTACAAATGAGATTACAATTGGTATGACATTACCAATATGGGCCGATTTAGATATGTCACTTGACGGTGATGGGTAAATTCTTTCTTTGTATATTGTGTCTTCCTTTTTTTGAAAGCAAACTAATTTTATTCCACTTTTTTTACCGGAATAGCATCAATTCCGGTTTTGGAAAATAACTCTTAGACATTGAATGCTTTACTCTATAAAAAGTATCTTCTGACTGGAACAATATTTATTTGATATTATAAAAATAGAATTCCGGAAGAGCTCAAATGTGTTGTGGGATTTCTTAGTTAACATTTTTGACAGTAACACATGTGTGATTAACAAAATATTTTGAGATTGTATAATACTATTTTATGTCTTGTATATATGAAAATTAAAAAAACAACTCAAAACTTCAACATCTTAACAAAAAATCTTTTTCAATTTTAAGTATCAAGTAATGAATGATCGGGAAAGTTTTTAGACAAGATCTTTATTTACTCTTGACCGAAGTCCAATGAATGAGTTGAAATATTTAAAACTGTTGTCTTAGCTTTTTGTTTGAGAGTAGTAAAAATAATCCTTGAAAAGTCAAAAAAATTAGTTTAGACGGCCGATGTTTCCGGTGAACATGTTTGTTCATTTTTGTCTGCTTGAAAGCATTTTAGTATAGGTCGTAACCAGAATTTGAATTTGAGCTTACAACTATTATGTCTATTTTTTTTGTTTTGAACTTTTTGAAAGGTCTGAAAAATTATTTTTAATAGTGAGCCAACAGATTTTGTGTTTACCGTATAAGTGTCTTTTCGAACATGCTACTTGATCGTTTTGTAGAATGAACGCTTCTCTACAAAATTTAATATTGAACTAAGCGGTAGCTCTTTTACCCTAGAATTTTTTCAAGAGTTCCTTTCAACATAAGACGATTGTCGATTTTTAAAAAAAAAAAGAGTATTTAAAATAAGGTACCTTGTCGAATGATAAAAGGAAATTCAAGTAGTGCATTTTGTATGGTAGCCGTTGATAAATAAGTTGATATATAAATAAAAATCCTAACTTTTTAGTTTCGTATTACAACAATGAAAACATTAAAATTTTCCATCCAAAAACTCATTTATTATGTTTTTCAAAGATTATTTCACTACTCTTAAACAAAAATTGAGACAAGATTTCTAAGTCCATATTCGAAAAGAGTACAAACATCTTGTATAAAAACTTTCAGATCAAGCATTATAATTAACAAAGTTTTTTCACGTCCTTTATTATTCTCTATTGAATTCTACAAATCAGATAATTAAGAAAAATCAAAAGAGAATTAACCAATGTTGTACAGCCTAATATAATCATTACATAATAAATTACTTTGAACAGTTATGTCCATATACCAAAAGGGTATGACATTTTTCATACGTAACACCCATGAGAATAATCTCTTGTTTATATGTGCTTGTCATATTTCAAAACATAGATATTTAATGTGATTGTCAATCAAATATTAGTTAGTCTTAGAAGATTCTATCAATAAATTATTCATAGAGTGTGCATAATCATTCTTCGAATATACTGTCTACAATATCACACTGATTTCTAATTCAATTATTTAGTGGTTTCAAGGTAACTTCATACGATCAATGTTATATTTTCAAACCGGTGAGCGTTCAAGCTCTGTGGTATGTATTAAAATGTCTTTAAAATTGATTTTTACTATAAAAAAAAAAAAAAAACAAATATTCTTATTTTATAGGACTGCTTATCAGAGTTTACATAAAGTATCAAATCAAGCTCGTCATTATAATTATATAGCTAATAATGGTCTTACACATAGTTGGTTAGAACATTATCGTAATATGGATATACGATCGAATCAAATCTATATTAACGAATGGAATCAAATGGATGATATATTATCACATCGTAGTGATTCACCTCATTTATATCAACCGTATGTTATGATAGATATTTTTTGTTTTTTCAAATAACAATTCTATTTTAGATTATCATCAGATGAAGAATCACTTCGTACTCGAATACGTGTTAAACTAAAAGAAATTATGTTACAAGTTAATCTTGATGAAGTAACACCAAAATTTGTAAGTTTTTGATTCATATGTTTTTAGAGAAATATTTTTATATATTAGCGTCTAATTTGGTATCCAACATTGGACTGATATTATTTCAGACTATTCTTAGATTGATCACTTACAATTAGAGATCTACGAAGTCAAAATTTTTCTTCACGTAAATTAGCGATAGTTTAAATGTTCAGAGATATTATGTAAGTGTACTATCACAAATCATATCAGATTTGCGAATATCATGAGTGAATAAATACATATGTTAGATAGAAAAATTACAATTGATTAAATTTTTTGAATATTCTTGTGTATCGAAGGTATTTGGAATGACACTGCCAAGATTGTATCATGTGAAGAGATTCAAAATTTAATGAGAAAAGAAGATGATTCTGTTAAATTACTACCATAAAAAAAAAATCCACAAAATACAACTAAAGTTTTGGGATCATTTTCACCAAGTTATGTTATATACGAAAAAAAAAGGTTTTCGGAGTCTGATGAAAGTCTCTAATTGCAATGTGTTTAATCTAACATTTGCTTGAAAATTTTAAGTAAATCTCAGATGGACTTAGGTCAATAGCAGATTGAAAGGGTAATAGAGCCAATCTTGGACGTGGTATATTCAACAAACAAGAGTCAAAAGAAGGGTCATTTGTCAATCTAAAATTTTCTATGGGTCTCCATTCTATATACTGAATTGTTGTTTTATTTGAAAGAGCATGTCAAGATGCAGACCATGACAGAGCCTTTTTTTAAATTGTGACTTTTTTAACAGGCGAAAAAGTTCATTATGTCAAAACACTTTAAAAAAATGGCTCTCTAATTATAAAGATACTCTTTTATATATTAATAACAAACAGCTTCATTCAAAAAAGGAACTCTGCCATGTCCTGCATTTTGACATGCCGTTTCAAACAAATAAGATACCATTGACTACAATGAAGTTCCTTCGAGAATTCTGTGATGTGCGATCAAAAAGAAAATACATAAACAGATATTGTCGTTTATGAAAGATCAGATCTTGGGCTATCTTCCCATGTTTTCGACGAAAATTGACTTTTATTGAAGAAGAGACCCTTAAAACCAAAGTTAACTATAGCACATGATACTTCATTTTCGACAGAATACAACATATAATCATAAACAAATCACACAAAACGAAACACGAAAGGTGTAGATGTGGATGAAGTTGTTCTGTTCGCTCTCAAGGAGGGCAGCAAACTGATTTCTACCACTAGAAATCAGTTTTTATCTGATCATCGCGAATCAATAGAAAACAGAACTTTGTTTTTAATCTTATCACTAGCAATTTTCTATGATTTTAGAATGATCTCTAATTATTTCTGATGGTTTTTTTTAACCACTTCCAATCCTTATTCATATCCTTAGCGCTTTATAATGATTTCTAGCATAGAAAATAGTTTGTTTCTTCTTAGTACTCGAATTCGCAATTATTTGTATTAAACTTTCAACCTGCCATTGATCTAGACGAATATGAAATTGAACATGTTGTAACTGATCAATTTGAGAATGGCTTAAATTAATATCCGTCCAATATGAGATTCGAGATTGTCCTAGGTGAATCTAATGAGGAAACATTCTCAGTCGAAAGGTTAATTAACATCTGGAGAAGTTTTCTCATGAGATTGAATGCTAACATATATATGTATGTAAATTGTTTGTTTTTTTGTTTTGTAGTTACGTGAACAGTTAGAAAATGCATTTGAAATGTCATTATCTTCATTTAAACAATATATTGATGATGAAATGCTTCAAATTCTTGCACAAATGGATAAACCAACAATGATTTTACCACATCTTTATCTTGGTTCAGAATGGAATGCATCAAATTTTGAAGAATTAAAATCAAATAATATTGGTTATATATTAAATATTTCACGTGAAATAGATAATTTTTTTCCTGGACATTTTAAATATTTAAATGTTCGTGTACATGATCATGATGATGCTGATTTATTAAAAGAATGGGAAAAAACATTTCGATTTATAAATGAAGCAAAGTATATTTTCGAAAACCTTTTTTTTTCATTCATTATTTATTTTTATTTAGAACAAATAATCAATGTTGTTTAGTTCATTGTAAAATGGGTATTAGTCGTTCTGCTTCAACGGTAAATTAAATTCAATTGAATAATTATATTATTTTATGTTTAACATATTAAATTAGGTATTAGCATATCTAATGAAAGAAAATAATCATTCACTAATTGATGCTTTGGAATATGTAAAAACACGACGATCATGTATAAATCCAAATGGTGGATTTCGAAATCAATTAGTTATTTATGAAGGAATATTAGCAGCACAGTACAAAAAAATTTTTATTTTTTAATTTTTTAATTAGATTATCTTTTTTCTTTTTAGTAAAACATTTCGAAGTAAATTAAATGATAATCAAATAACAACAATTGATAAAAAAAATTCAATTATACCAATAAGTAAAACTGAAAGTGTACCATCAACACCTATTGAATCATTACCATCTTTGTCAACAGATTTAATGGTAATGATGAGAAAAAAATCATCGAATAAATTCAATTGTGTAACCAAACGTCCAAATTCAATGGTTTAATTAGTTAATTTTTTTTTTCTTCTTTAATATTTGTATATTCTTATTCTATTTCAATTTGAACATACGAAAAAAAAAATCATTTTTTTTTAATGTATAAAATTTTAAGTTTTTTCTTGTTTCTCCGAATGATACTGCGATATATTTCTGTAATAGAAAATTATCTGATAATACTATGAACAAGAGAGTAAAAATAAAAAACAAAAGGTCTTTTGCAATAAGAGCTCATGGGATTCGGAACTGACCCAATAGGTCAGACTCTAAAAATAACAGCCAATTTTAACTTAGAGCAACTTGAAGATTCACAATAATGATTTTCGTTGAAATTTTGAATGCGATTCGGATTCGATGTCTGATGGACTCTATTTACAATGGATGCTAGGTTTTATAAGATATCTCTAGTTTACTAATATTCGATTTATTGTATAATAAAATCCCTGTTCTCTTTTGTTTTACTAGATTCTAATGAATTTAAATCATTTTTAAAAATTGATATCATAGACTTACCAGTAGTGTCAAACTTGAAAGTTGAATTTAAGTATTCAACTATTAGTTCAACTATTCAGCTATTCAACTATTCAAGTACTCAATTAGTTAACCGCTGGAATGCCACTAGAACCATCTAATATCGATAGGTATTGTCTGCGAGACTACAAGCATCCCCTATGATGCTACAATTATCACCTATAATGCTACAAGCATCCTCTAGGGTGCTGCAAGCATCACCTACGATGCTACAAATATCACCTAGCATGCTACAAGCATTTCCTAGGATACTACAGCTTTGGTTTGAGATGCTGCAGACATTATCTGGGATGCTACAAGAAGTATGTGAGAAGCTTCAGCTAATGCGCAGCACTGAGCAGGAATAATGGTGTACACAGAGACGTATATGTGTCGCGGTTCTTCGGGAGGCGCTTCGCGCCCTCACGTCACGACGCTGAAATAAAAGGTGTGTTAGGTGAGGAACGCGTTTCCCCACTGAATATTCGCAGAACACTTGAGAAGTTAAAAATTGAATAGTTGAATAGTTGAATACTTGAATTCAAGTTTCAAGCATTACATACATGAGACTTGCAAGAAAACTTTATTATCAGATTTCTACAAAGCAAAAGTTTGTTAAAATATACTATTATAATTGAGATAAATTAATTTATAAAAGTTTTATACATCATTATTAAAATGTCTTTTCCTATCAGACAAATATAAAAATTAACAATGACATTTACAATAAAAGAATAACTTATTTAGATTGTGCAAAATGTATAAAAGAAGAAAGATTCGAACCACCAATATTTTATCTTTTTATAATTGAAACGGAAGAAAAAAATTGCAGTAGAGGAAACTAAGAATGATGAAATGAAGTTTAACAATCGAATTGCCAATTGTACTTAATGAATTGTATAGGGAATACTACATCCGTATACTATGCATATTTAGATGTAAATATTCGTATAAATAAAAATAAAAAAATCAAAGTTGAAGAAGAATACCTATTCTTCTTTGTTAAGCTGGGTTTTTTTTTTGATCGTATATGATATTATAATTTATAATGATCATAAATTTAAAAGATTTATTTGTTTTATTTATTATAGATATATAATACTTCAACAAATGATTCTATTAAAAATTGATAAATAAATTCAATTTTGTTTTTCTTTCTTTTATCAATCTCTGTTGGTCATTTAAACATTCAAGCGTAATACATTGTATTAAATAATTTAATAACTGAATTAATATCTGGAAAATTGATTGAAAAATAAAAGCACGTTAAATATAATTAAAACTAATCGAATGAATCAATTTTTGTTTTTTTGAAAGATATAGATTAAATCTATCGTTTTGAATTTATTATTGTCAAAATACCGATTTATCTTGATTTAATCTTCAAAACATTTATTTCCCTTGAGAGCGATCGAATTTGCATAGATATTGTTATGGATAAATACAGTTTACATTAAAATGTCAGACTTAATTTATTATTGTTTTCTATACAAAACAATATTAGATCTACTATTGACAGTAAGATTTTTTCTTTTTTACGTAATATGATTTGGTCTTTTTTTTTCATAGCTCAATGGCAAAAAAAAAGAAAATTAGAAATTTGGTGGAGGCAAAAATAAATTCTTTTATTGTTTCTAATGCTGTTGAGCAATAGATTCAAGAAAAGCTTTTTTTTTTTATAAATAGATATTTTACGTATACAGTTCTCGGTAAATGTTTATTGTTGTAAATTATCAGTAGCCATCAAATCACGTCGTTTACGTCCAACAAGATAAGAGGCACGTTTACCAACCAAATATGTACCACGTTTGCCCACCAAATAGGATGCTCGTTTTGCTGCCGATTGATCTTCATCTAGAAAAATAAAATAAATTTTCATAAGAAAATTTTTTTTTTTTTTTAAATTTTTATTTACCACTCTCGAATAATTGATCTTCATCAGATGCAACAATATATCGTTTTCCTACCCAATAACCATTAAGATGTTTTCGTTTTTGTAATAGATCAGCAAATTGCTCGCGTTCTTTATTAGCTTGAGCCGAAACTATTGTCATAGCAAAAAGTACGACAAATATATATGCGATCAATGATTGATAATGCATGTTTGTGTTCGAAATTTTGAAAATGTTAATCTCGATTGATAAAGAAAAAAAAGTAATATCCAAATGTTGAAAAGAGAGAGAGATGTGGAATAGAAATCAGGACTAATATTCTGAAACATTTATATTAACCAGTAAAAAACAAAAAAAAAAAAAAAGAGAAAAAAAAAAATCTAATATAAATGGAAGAAAATTTATCAATTGTGAGTGTGCACGCATACCTTAAGGCGTTGATGCATTAAACAGTGATAAGTTACCTTTCCAGATTTCTTTTTTAAAGAATAATAAACGACTTGACATTATTTCTTAGTATGTCTAGAACAGATTTTTATCGTTTTTAACTAATGTCTTACAGAAATTTTATTAATAATGCTTTTTTTTTTTTTTTTATAAGGCATAGATATCTAATATAAATTACAAGATAAATGACTAACAATTTATTTTAAAGTCAACTAATCAATACTATTCAAACTGTCATAACAGTCCATTAAGATAAAGATTTGAATCATTGTCACATTATCTAAAGTATATTTTTTCTCCTTAAATGAGAATAAAAAGAAAAAAAAGAAGATTAGATCTCATTTTGTTAATGTTTTCTTCTTCTTCTTCTTTCATCTTACCTCGCTTCTATATGAATAAAACCATCTAATATATGTTGGTCTTACTACTTCTTTTTTTTTTTTTTTGATAATAACAATAGCAAATAATGACTATCTGGTTTTTTTACTTGATTCTTTTAGCTGTCTACATATATATAAATAACGTCATTGATTAAAAATGAACGGACAATTAGGTGCTCGATCTATGTATGTCTTGCCTAACAAAGTTTTCTTTTTCTTTAATCGATTTTTTGTTCTCTCTCTCTCTCTCTGTTCTCTCCTACATAGTAATCGTCGTTCATAGTTTGTATCTTGCAACGGTAGAACGAGTCCTATAGAACTAAAAGAGACAAAGAGTGTCCCGAGGTACCGAAAAAAAAACATTGAATTGAAATTTATTAATGATTGAACGTGTTAGTTGATTGAAGCTGATGTGTAACAATTAATCGATTGATAGAAAGAACAGAAGTCTTTTTTTCTTTCTTTAGAACTATTACTCACTGCTTTATGTAAACATTGAAAGACGACAGAGACGAAAACAAAAAACCTAAGAAATAACGTTCGATCAATTTATTAATCAGGGTGATTGTCTTTCTTTTTGTTATCGAGGGAACGGAATAGAAAGAAAAAAAAAACCGGTCTAAGATTGTGTCAATCATATAAAGACAAGTTCCATCTCTTCTTTAATATTTAGAAAATATTTGAACCAGAAACAACCATTTATTTTATCTAAAATTGACAGCATCTACAGAAAGTCTTAGTTTTTAATTAAATGAGCATTTGAGTCTGCATTATGTCATGTTCATTTTCTTTTTTCAGATGGTAACCTGTTAATACTCACTAAAACCCACGCATACATTTAATAATAATAATAGTAATACATATTTATTAAACAACAAAGAAAAAAAAAAAAAAAAAGAGAAGAGATCAAGTATTACTTGACATTATTGATATTAAAATTAGTTTTATTCAAAAAATTTTTTTACAATTTTCGTTATTGAGGAATTTGTTGATTTTGATGAATTCTTCATTTGTTTTTCTAATAAATCAAATGTTCGTCGAAATCGTACAACAGGATTTATTAATAATTCATCATTTGTCATTCGACGTCGTTCATTTAAACGTTGAGAAAATAATGAAAATGATTGTACTGAATTATTATCAATACGTTGATAATCATCAAGAAATTTAAGAAAAATCATTCCTAGAAAAACAAAAATAACAATATAAAATTTTTCTTTTCTTTTTCTTTATTATTTCAAATAATTGTAAAACGATTTATGTTTTAATAAAAAAAAAAAACACAATCTAATATAACAGAAATCGAGCATAAAATTCTGTACATTTGTTCGTTATTGAATATAAAAGAAAAATTTTTTTCGAGGACTAAATAGTCTTAGGAAAAGTTTATCACTTTTGGATGTTTCGAATTATAACTATGATACTTATAATTTTCATATTATAAATCCAATATGAAAAAATTAATAGCATAGATAGATGTAATTTTTCATGCTCTATAAAATGACATATCGAACATATTTATAGATTAGTTTATGTCGAATCAGACAGGTATGATGTCATACCTGTCTGACTTTACATAAACTAATCGATAAATATGATCGATATGTCATTTTGTAGAGCATGAAAAATTACATCTATCTATGCTATTAATTTTTCTTATTGGATTTATAATAGAAAAATTTCGGATATCATAGTTATTATTCGAAACATTCAAAAGTGATAAATCTGCTCTAAGACTATTTATAATCCACGAAAAAAATGTACTTTTTTTTCTACATTC